AGTTTCCATTCAATCCAGTTATTCCCCTTCTGGGTATTTTCTCAGAAGAATTCAAATCTTCATGCTACAGTGATATATGTGCATCCACATTTATAGGAGCACAATTTGTAATAGGTAAATATTGCAACCAACCAAAATGCTCATCAAACATGGAACGGATCAAAAAGAGATTGTATTTTTTTCTTTTATTTTCTTTTGGTCCTGGGGATTGAATTTAGCATCTCATACTTGCCAGGCAGGTGGTTATACCACTGAGATAAATCCCTGGCCTGAGACAATGGAGTATTAGCTACAAAGAAGGATAAACTTAAGACTTTTATAGATAAATGGATGCAACTTGAGTCCATATTCATGAGTGGAGCAAACAAGACTTAGATGTATGAATAGAGTGTTGTCACCCTAGTGTTAAAAAAAGCTGAAAGAGTAAATCAGGCCCAAAATATACAATACATATTGTGAAATGAAAGGGAAAACAAATGTTTGAAAGGAAAGAACAACTGGAATGGGAAAAGGAGAAAAGAAAGAAGGGAGGTGTGTGTGTGTGTGTGTGTGTGTGTGTGTGTATCTGTGTATATAAACATTACTACACTACCGATCTGTTAAAACAGAACAGTTTTTTGTTTTATTTCTTTTTAATGCTAAATCCTGTGTTCTAAACAACTACTTTGAAGATAACAATATGCAATACATTAACTACTGTCTGTCCAAAATTAAAGAAATCAACAGCTTTCCTGTACATGCATAATAAACTCATTGACTGAGTGATTATTGGAACCACACCTTTTGTAATACCATGCAAAAAAATTAAATAGCAATCAATACAATGCAGGAAGTGAAAGATATACACATTGATAATAACTACCTTCAAAAAGGCAATCAAAAAGATATCAGGAAATGGAAAGATACACCTTGCTTAGGTAGAAGAACCAGCCTAGTGAAAATGACCATACTCACAAAGTTGCTATACAGTTTTTACCCAATTTCAATCAAAGTACCATTAGCATTTCTCACAGAACTAGAGAAAACATTCATAAAATTAATTTAGAAACAGGCCTAGAATAGCAAAAACAATTCTCAACATTAAAGGTAAGGTAGCAGACATTGCAACCCTGACTTGGAATCCTAGAACAAACTTCTATGATAAAGTCAGCATGATATGGGCAAAAATGTCAAAATAAGTGGAACAGATTAGAAGATGCATAAACTATTCCACATACACTCAACAAACGTTACCTTTGACAAAGGAGCCAAATTTGTTCACAAGAAGAAAGTATCTAATAAATAGTGCTTGAAAAATTGATTTTCCACATGCCAAAGATTAAAATTAGTGTGTGGCTATTTCCACACACTAATCTAATTAAGAAGGATCAACAATCTAAATATTAGAATGGGAACATTAAATGTACTGGAAGAGAATGTAGGTAGAAATCCAGAAGACATAGATGTAGGTAGAGTGTTCAAAAACAAAATCCAGATTGCATGGGAAATACTTCAAAGAACCAACAACTGTGATATCATGTTATTACAAAGCTTTGGTACCTCAAAAGAAATCAGCAATAGTGTGAAAAGGAAACTAACACATTGAGAAAAAAAATTATTCAGTTGTCCCTTAGGCAATGAATTTATATCCAGAAGATATAAAGAATTGAAAAAATCAAACCCCTTGAATTGGTTATTTTTGTCTCCTTGCTGGGACAAAACACCCAACACCCACAATGGAGGAAGAACAGATTTATTTCTTACAGGTTGGAGGTTTCAGTCCACATTCAGCTGGCTCCAACGTAACATGACATGGTAGGGCATCCATTCATGGCCAGCTGCAAACAGCATGCTTGAATGGGCAAGAGAGAGAGAGACACACACTTTCTTCTGGCTGATACATTGTATCCTGGCTCCACCTCAGGGTGGGTGAAACACTCATACCATCCAATCACAAATGCTAGATTTGGTCCAGTCCATAAATGCATGAGACTTGGGCCACTGACATAAACCATGGCACCCCCCTAATTCAAAGACCAACCTAAAAATGAGCATCTGCAATGGATACATAATTCTAAGATGAGGACATAAAAATGGCAAAGATATATATGAAAAATGTTCAACATCATTATAATATGAGAGACAAAACAAATGTGATAATCAAGAAATCAACCAATAACAAATGTTGGAGCAGCTGTGGCAAAAAAAGGAATTCTTTTCCACCTTTTGTGAGAGTGCAGACTGGTGAAACCTGTGGAAAGCACTATGGAGATTCCTCAAAAAACCTAGGATTAGAGGTGTCAATCAACTGAGCTGTTCCCTCTTAGATGTCTCTCCAGAATAAATGAAAACATATTACGGTGAAAACATAAACCCATGTTTACAGTACTATTTGTAATAACTTAATCTTGTAGACAACTCAAATGCCAATTACCCAAAGCGTGAAAATGTGAGGGTGTGTGCGAGGGGAATGAGTTGACGAGCTGGAAGTCCACTGTCACTTGAGATTTTCCATGTCTGGTGTTGTATAGTCAATGATGATTTCCTCAAGTGTTCATATGAAGGTTTTGTATGCAAATTGTTTCAACTACAAAACTGATTGAACTTCATAAGAAATTGGAAGCTTCAACTGAAACATAGTTGAGTATTCACATAGCATATTTGATGCTAGTTTTTCAAATTATTTTAAATTTAAGATAGGGAACAGAAATGATGTGTGTGGAAGGAGGGGCAATTCCTAAATTCAGCAGACAAATGGACTATACAGTTACTTGGTAAATCTCAGTCTAGTACCGTGTGAAGGTTTATTGGACCAAATATGTGAGATATCCTTACTACACCTGAGTTTATAATTTCATAGGATTATTGTGTTTCTTGCTGTGTACCCACCCATGTGAAACAGTGACCAAAGCCATTAATTGTGTATATACATATCTGAGAAAACTAGTGTTTTTCACAACACACAGTGACAAATCATATCCTTATTGTTATTATGACTGTTGGAAAATCATTTCCAATAACATTCTGTATCTTCCCTGTTTGAGGCTTCCACAACACAGGAGTCTCTGTAGCAAGGGGACCAGCCCATCCTGGACCCTGCAGCTTTGTAGATGAGTCCAGCCCTGGATTACAGGTGAATGTGTTGCAGGATCAGGCTTGAATACAGATGATGCCATGGAGTTTTCCATGAGCTGGCTTTCCCTTCTTGTTTTATAAGGTAGTACATGGAGAACAAGCAATACTGAATGTATGCATGGACATTATTGGGAGAAACAGTTAATCTGTGTGACAGCTTTCTGAAGAGAGTGTCTGTATTTGCAGGTGTCCAGTGTGAAGAGCAGCTGGTGAGCTCCAGGAACACAGGCTTGGTGCAGCTTGGGGCATCCCTGAGACTTTCGTGTGAACCCTCTGGATTCACCTTCAGTGATTATTGGATCATCTCAGTCCACTAGTTTCAGGGAAGGGGCTACAGTGGGGGTCAAGCATTAATAATTGTGGTAGCACGTACTATCCTGAATCTGTGAAGGTCTGATTCACTATCTCAAGAGATAACGCCGAGAACACTCCGTATCTACAAATGAACAGCCTGAGATCTGGGGACACAGCCATATGTTACTATGCCAGAGACACAGTGAGAGGACATCAGTGTGAGCCCAGACACAAAGCTTCCTGTAGGCCTAGCAGGCAGCACTCAGGTCACAAAGAGAACACAGGATCTATATCAAGTGAAGATTTAGAAGGTGAAACATGGTTTTCATTATGATTAAGAACTTCTCCATGTGATACATACCCCTGGATACTCCAATTTCATGTGTCTGTCTTTACCACAGAAATCTCTCAGACATGATTGTTTGCCAAGAATGTGTTCTTCTTTATAGCTTAGTAGTAGCCCGTGATGTATAAATACTATATTTTCTTTATCCAGTAATATGTTTATGGTATATTGGCTGTTTCCAGTATTTAGCTGTTACTAATTGTGCTGCTATATACATTGCTATGCATATAATGCTGTAGTGTGATGTTTTGGGCTCTTTGGCAAAGTTCAAGAAGCAGAAATGCCAGGTCATATGGAATTTTAATTTCAGTTTTTGAAAAATATCTATATTGATTAAAAATGTTTGTGCTAGTTTACACCCCCAGGAGCAAGGTTCATAGGAAGTTAATGTGAAGCCACATGAGGATGGTCACAAGCTGCTGGGTGATGGGGTGTGGGAGGGAAGCAGAAAGGGAGAGATTACAGAGCAGCCTCAGGACACACTGAGGATGACACATGTACTCCCTGCTTCTGGTATGTGTGGCTGTGCAAGTGTTCGTGTGTGTTAATACTTCTTAGGGGCACACGTTATATATGGGCAGTTGATGCCTTGAAAACAGAAGAAGAGAGAGATAACAACAGTCAACAATGAGAGAGCCACTAACAGGCACCAACAGGATCAGTGTTCGGTTTCCTCTCAGCAAGCAGCAGAATGCAGCAAAGTCACACAAATTGTCACCACAGGGAGAGGGAACATGAACCTCGGGAGATGCATTCCTGTGTCCAGGAGCTGGATCAGGAAGCAATTTGTTCACAACTTAGGAGAGCATAGGGTCAGATGGAGGGCATAACCTTATAAGACATGGAATCCTATGGAGATAATACAACAGTTTATGACACTTTCATTGTTTTCCATGATTACAAATTAAGCAATATCAATAAAAATCCATGATTTGGGTACATGGACAAAAGGTAATGAAGCTCCATCGATACATACAGAACAAGACGATCATGTAACTATCATAATTGTTTTTCACTACTACCATTGTTACTAAACTTCCTCAGGACACTCACAGCTGCTATGTGCCATGCCATTTCTGAATATCCAACCCCAGAGCTATCTATATAGCAGGAGACCATGCAAATAGGGCCTCTCTGTGCTGATAAAACCCAGCCCAACCTCCACCCTGCAGATATGCAGAGGAACCCAGCACTGGTGCCCAGGTGTTTCTAGTTGTTGATCAGTACTGAACACATATGGCTCACCATGGAGTTCACAGTGAGCTGGGTTTTCCTTCTTGCTGTTTTCAAAGGTAATTCATGAAAAACAAGAAATACTGAGTGTGTGTCTCATGCGTGGGATAAACAGTGGACATCTGTAACAGTTTCTGAGCAGGATGTCTCTGTGTTTTCAGGAGTCCAAGCTGAGGAGCAGCTGGTGGAGTCCGGTGGAGGCTTGGTGCGGCCTGGGGGGGTCCCCGAGACTTTCCTGCGTTGCCTTGATAGCTACAGGATGAGCTGGATTCACCAGTCTCCAGGAAAAGGGCTGGAGTGGATTGCATACATCAATGGTGATAGTAGTAATATAAACTACACAGCCTTGGTGAAAGGCCAATTCCCTATCTCCAGGGACAATGGAAGGAACACGCGGTATCTGCAAATGAGCAGCCTGAGAACCGAGGACATGACCATGTATTACTCTACCAGAGACATAGTGAAAAAAGTTCCATGTAAGCCTGGAAATTAACCTCTCTGCTGTGGCACTCACGACCAGCAGGTGGTGATGGGGATCCATGGAGCACAGACCAGGGCCCCAGCTGGTGCAGAGCAGGAAGCTGGAGATTGAGGGTTTCCTTTGACCTCTGAGGGTTTCTGAACATCATATAATGAGAAGAGACCCGAAATATGTTTGCTTTAGATGACTTATGAAGTATTCAAGATACAAGTAAAATTTATATATATATATATATATTTATTTTCTGTTTCATACAAATTATCTTTTGAATGTCAAATCACTATTATCTAAAAATGAAATTGTTATTTTTGTCATAATGAGGAGCAATTGTCTATTGCAGGAGTAAATGTTTCAGATTAGGAAATTATATTATTTCTATCCCTCTGCACATGGTCTGAGACCTTGCAGCTTTCTCCTCTCCTTGGCCACCCCAGGAGACCTGGTCCCCAGGCTCAGCCCCAGCACCATGAGGAGCCCTGTGCTCAGGGGAGGAGGAAGAGGGGCAGCTGGACTGGACTAAAGAGTCTGACTGGGGGAAGAGAAAGTTGAACACTGAGAAATGGACCAGTAGCCTCTCCAGAAAGACACTCAAGGAAAGATATTTCCAGAAACTTATCCCACTTGTTGGAAATGAATACCCCTAAATATAACCAATTATCCATTATTCAAGTATGCCCATAAAGAGTTAATGTAGTCTGTATGAGATATACATTAAAGGAAGTGCCCTGTGGCCCAGAGAGGAGGACAGTTCAAGCAAAAATGAGTGAAACACCCCAAGTTTCCTTGTAGGACAGAACTGGAGAGATCTCACCATGAGAACATGAGAGTCTCCATAGAGACTCTCAGGCACAGCAGTGTGGTGAGTGTGGATTACAGTTAGTGGAGCTCCAGGACCAGGTCCATCTGGAGCAGAACTCTGAAGTTGCAGACAACAGGGGAGACAGAGGAGAGGACAGGAGACCCCTGTGCAGCTTCCTCCTCCATCACCTGTCAGACCCCGCTCAGAGAGCCCAGACCTTCAGGCTCAATTCACTTTCTCTCTCTCCTTGGTGTTCTTTGCATGACATGTCTCCTGATGGGGCTTTTGGGACATCTGGGTAAATCCATGAGGGACAGCAAGAATTGCACAGTGGACACACACATTGCTACAGGGAGAAAGCCACAAACGGGGAGACTCAGAGATGGCTCTGTGTCCAAGCCTGAGCTGGGTCCAGAGGTCCAATGGGGAAGGATCAGCATCTGAAGCCCACCAGGACATCACTGTGCCCTTCTTGGGGACAAGGTATCTGAAGAACTCAGATGTCCCTCATGGAAATAAACCAGTTCACCAGATACCTGATTTCCAGACAACCATGTGATCAGACACCACATCACCAGCATCAGAAGGGAATGCTGTTGCCTGCCCACCTGTCCCTTCTGGGAATCCATTATATAGGTGGAGCTTCAGAGAATCCTGAGTGGACACACAGCCTCTGGACTCTGTCCTCTCCTGCATTCCTCTGCTACCATTCCTAGTGGTATCTGCAGCACAGGGTCATGATTTCTAGGCATGGGCATTTGCTGCAACCGAATCCCTGGGCTCAGCCAGGGTGTGGGGACACATAGACTCCATCTCTTTTGGATATGCTGGCTGGTACACTGACCAGACCCATCTCCAGGATGCACAATTAGAGTTGCACTTGGGTTACTCTTGGCTTCCTCAGAACCCAAGAAGACAGAACTGGAGATCCTTCCATGGGATTGATTAATTTTTTTCTGTGGCAAGGTGACTGTCAATCAGAGGGGTGCAGTTCTTAGGGTTCTCTACTCTTTTGTCCAACTTTATAATATCTAATGGGGTAGACAATTCTTTTTAAGGAAACAAAAGACAACGTTGATAACCATTGTTGATAACCTTGTACTCTGTTCTACACCATGTGCTATGTCTATCCTTGGTTTTGACTGACAGCTTTGTTTTGCCATATTTGACTGTATTCTCTCCCCCCCAAAAAGTAATAAGCACTAAGGAGTAATAAAATCCAAAATGTGTAAATTTTGTTGTAAAAAAGAGAGGAAAAAAAAGAGCTCTAACGGATATAACAGCAAGTGTGGTTAGGGGTGTTAAATAGCTGACTATATCAATGTTTTTGGATCATTGAACACAGCTGTTTGCAGTCTCCCTGATTGAATGTCCACCTTGTATTTTTTGATACTGTGATTTGAGCAACTATTTTCAAGATGATAATAAGTAATCTATTAACAGGTGATTTCTTACTGTTATGTTTTTTTTTGTAGTTCTGTATTACGTGTACCCTTTCACCGCTTTGTTTTGTTTTGTCTTTTTCTCTTTTTCCTCTTAAATAAAATAAAAAAAAATAAAATAAGAAAATAAATGTATCTTAACATAAACTCATGAAGACACATTATTATGAGTACATTTCACATGCATGAGGAGAAATACAATGAGTGTCTAATAGTCCATAAAATTCATGACATCTTCTTAGGCAACTGTCTTAGGCAATATTTGCCCAATTGAATGAGATGACAGCATTTATCCAAGGGCCTTAAAACCCTGGAATATATGAATGATGGTAAGAACAAATACAGAATGGAGAATGACAATTGATTTGAAGCAGGACCCTAAAACACATGTGTACATATGCCCATAGAATGTGAACTGATGTTTTGTGTTATGCACATAACCCCTATGCTCATTTGTTGTATGTATCTCACACCCGTTACGCCTGGGATATGTGTTCTAGTTTTCATATCTGCAAAGTCATCCTTCATCTGTAAACATACACAACTCCATTAGCATGGAAACAAGGAAAGATATACATGTAGAGGCTTATACGTGCCTAGAACTTCTCCTAAACAGGTGATGAGAAATGGTTATATTGCATGTGATGAAATTAACAGCTACTTTGAATAAAAACATATTCTGATATTCATTGCTTATTCCATATCATCATGCTGTGAAATCTAGTAATGCTTCTATTCTTTGTTCAGAGTGGTTTTAGTCTATTTAGTATTATTTAATTTCAACATACATGAAGGTATGGACAGCTATTTTGAAGAGAACAGAGACATTATGTCAGCCATTGTTAATTTTCATATTGTCTGATTTTGAAGGCCTGTAACGCCTTCTTACTCTGTTCTGATCAGTTTTATACTATTTTGTTTTGTATGAATTCATTGTGTGTAAAGATATAGACAACCATTTAGAAGAAAACAAGAGATATGGAAGCCATTGTAGATCCCCTACTGTCTTGCTTTGAATTCTGTGTCACTTACATTGCTTTCTTCTGATCTGTTTTGTTCTTTTTCACTATGTTTAGTTTTACCTTTTTAAAAAAAATAAAAAAAACAAAAAAACCCTCCAAAACAAAAACATACACAACTCACTGACTAGCTCTTCCATTGTATATTCTGTAGGGAGTAGGAGGTTTGGGCCTAGAGCAATGGACCCCAGGGACCTCGGACTTTGTTGAGGGCTCAGTGAACTCTTTCACTTCGTGGCAGTTTAAAAAATGTATGCATCCTCTGTCTCCTTGTGACCTTCATGTGCAATATAGCTCCCTACATGGAAATACTTCAGGAGCTAACGGATAAGCTCATATTTCATTCTGGCTTAATTTCTTGTGTATCTCAATGCTTAAGATGTTCTCAGAGATTTGTAAACCTGGTCTTCAAGAAACTAGAACAATGCAGGTTCCTTCTCTTTTAGTGCTGGCTCCTAGGTGGTGTGGAAATGCTGCATCTGATCTCAGGACTCACTGTGTTCTCTACCATCCTGTCTCAACTACAGCTGCAAGAGACCTGATCTGGTTCAGCAAAGGACTCACAGTCAGTCTTCATCTGACTTGCCATTCTCTGGTTTCTTCCACTCTGCTATGCTGTCTCTGGAGCTGGATCCTTCAACCACCATGAAGGAAACTGAGTGAATGTGTCAGGATGATTAAGAGCAGAGAGGCACAACTTGTAATTCATCCCTGAAAGTCAGCATATTTAAAGACAGCCAAGAACCAGTTCTCTGAGCAACTGTCCTCAGTATCCATGGAAAACACCACCGTACAGTACTGTGTAAGACAGTTTCTAAGCGGAGGCAACTGGTAACCCAGACACAAAGCTATGTACAGAGTAGCGCGGACCAGTAGGGGGCGCTCAGAACAAAGAAGAGGGGAGTGTTTGAGAGCAGGAGAGGACTCATAGGAGCATTAGGGAAAGCTCTGACTAGTGAAAGAGCTCTGGGGATCTGCAGAGAACCAGGCGTGGCCCCGGAGGAGGTGCATAGAAGGAAGCTAAGGACTGAGGCCTTCCAGAGGTGCAGAGAGGGAAGCTAAGGACTGAGGGCTTCCTTTTAGTGAATGAATGTCTCCTCTGTGTGAGCATCACACACACTGTGGAGAACGAATGTTGCATCCTTGCTACCTCACATATGAATTCTCCAGAGCCCAAGCAATGAAAGGGACTTGGTGGTGACAGATTACATTTATACCTACACTGCTGTCATTTCCTTCACCTGAATTTCTGTGGACAGCAATAAGAACCTGCATATACTGAAAAGAAGACCAAGAATCTTTAGAATTTTGATGCTGTGGAATATACGATACTCATCATCATCATCACGGAAAATTAGAGTGCCAATTATATCACCAAGAGAAATAGTCAGGCTCATGCAGTAATAAATGTTTCAGTTGAGGAAGAATTTATAATAAAGAAGGAGACTTATGAAACACAACAGGAGAATTTAGCAGTACTGATCCATAGCATATCTTGACAACGGGCATAAATTGTAAGTATTATCATGTTGGTAGTATGTGTCAAAATACATCTCATTTATCCATCATTAAATTTAATACATATATTTGTAAAAGGTACCTTGCAGTGGAAAGCTTAATGCAGAGGTTAAAAAAAAATGAGACACCAGATTCTTGAACATATGCTTGACAAAGATACTGCTTATCTATTCTTTTATGAGTCTAATGCAACACAGAAAATCCTGTCAGGTTCTCTGTATAGAAGAAGACCTT